TAATTATTTAAACGAAGCCAACTTCCCTAAACTAACAGAAGAGCAGAAACAAGAAATTAATGGTTTGATTACTAATGAGGAAATTGAGATGGTGATTAAAGAATTAAAATTAGGTAAAGCACCGGGTACGGATGGCTTGACATCTATTTATTATAAAACTTTGATACAAGAGATGGTTCAACCTTTAAGTGAACTTTTTAATAATATATTACAGGGCTTAGAGATTCCCCCGTCATGGGGTAGAGCCTTTATATCTTTAATTCCAAAAGAAGATCAAGACCTTATTTTACCAAAGAACTACAGACCTATATCTCTTTTGAATGTAGACTATAAGATTTTTGCGAAAATTTTAGCCAATAGGCTTATGAGGGTTTTGCATCATGTTATACACACAGACCAAACAGGTTTTATAACTGGAAGGTATATGAAGAATAATGTTAGACAAATCATTAATTTATTAGAATATTTAGATAAAAATAATCAAGTTTCTGCAGGATTGATATTTTTAGATGCTGAAAAAGCTTTTGATCAATTGAATTGGCAATTTATGTTAAGATTAATTGAGAAAATGAACTTTGGAGGAAAAATTTTACAAGCTCTTGGTCTTATTTATCAAAAACAAACGGCACAACTTATAGTTAATGGGGGTTTGTCAGAGGTTTTTACAATAGAAAAAGGGACTAGACAGGGATGTCCATTGTCACCATTGCTGTTTGTTTTAACCTTGGAAATATTGTTGATTAAAATTCGAGAATCACAGCAAATAAAAGGAATAGAAGTTAATAAAAAAGAATATAAATTAAGAGCCTTTGCAGATGACTTGGTGGTTACCTTATCACAACCTATTTATTCTGTAGTAGAGTTATTACAATTGATACATCAATATGGATGGGTCTCGGGTTTTAAAATTAATAATAATAAGACTAAAATATTACCCAAAAACATGACTAATCTCGATAAGCAGACTTTGGTTAATTTGACAGATTTTGAGGTTGTTGACAAGGTAAAATATTTGGGGGTTACTTTATCTGTCTCTAATGCAAAATTGTATAAAAATAATTAAGAAAGGCTGTGGGTCAAGATACAAAGAGATTTGAAAAATTGGGAGAAGTTGCAATTATCTCTTCTGGAAGAATTGTGGTGATTAAAATGAATGTTCTGCCAAAGTTTCTTTTTTTATTTCAAATAATACCTATTTTAAAGAATGAGGTTAATTTAAATGAATGGCAGAAAGGTATCAACAAATTTATCTGGGCAGGGAAAAAGCCAAGAGTGAAACTTAAAATCATACAAGATACTCGTGAGAGAGGTGGACTCAAGGTACCGAATTTGAAATTGTATTATGATGCTGTGGTTTTAACATTAATTAGTGATTGGGTTAATTTAACAAATGTAGAAATACTCCTCTTGGAGGGTTGGGACTTACTTTTTGGATGGCATGCCTATTTAATTTTTAATAAAAAGGTTGATAGGGTTTTTAAATCTCATATTATAAGGATTTCTTTATTTCAGGTTTGGAGGAAATATTATAGAACTGATTCTAAAATTCCATTATGGGCCATACCATGGCATGCGATAGAGGGGATAAGGAGAGAAGTTAAGATGGATAGTGTTTCTTATGCACAATTACTTAGATGGGATGGTAAAAATTGGCAGTTAAAATCTTTGGAAGATTTAGCACAAGAAAATATTATATATTCATGGTTTCAGTATAGACAAATTGTGGATAGATGGAAGGTAGATTGTAATGTGGGTTTGCTTAGAGAAGATGAGAATTTTTTTAAACAAGTAAAAGATCAAAGACGAACTCACATTAAGAGAGTTTATGGGGTGTTAATAGAATTGGATTCAGAAGCAGAATTAGTTAAAGAATGTATGATTAAATGGGCACAAAATTTTGGTGAACCAGTCTTATTAGATACTTGGGAAACTATTTGGGTGAGAAATGTCAAATTTACACAAGCCCAGAATTTAAGGGAGAATTTTTATAAAATGTTTTACAGATGGCACCTTGATCCACAAAAACTGTCTCGTATGTATCCTGACTTACAGCCTAAATGTTGGAGATGTGGATGCTTGGATGCTACTTATTATCATATTTGGTGGTCGTGTAAAAACATAAAAGCCTTTTGGATTAAGATATGGTGGAATATTCAAAGAATTTTTAGAAGGAGGGTAAAATTTACCCCACAATTGTTTTTGTTAGGTATCGTTATTGATTGTGATACTAAGGAGACTACACTGATGTTAAATGTAATTACAGCCGCAAGGTTGTTAGTAGGGCAATGTTGGAAGAAGGAATATTTGCCTACTTTGCAAGAGTGGTTTCTTAAAGTTTCTTATTTGGCGGAAATGGCAAAGATTTCAGCTTTCTTGAAGAATCAATCGCAAGAGAAGTATGTTGCGGTATGGAAAAAATGGATAGATTTTATACAACATAAGTTAGATATAAAAAATATTATTTAGTTTTTTAACAATTTATATTTAAAATGGAATATTTGGGGTTTTTTTCTTTCTTTGTTCTTCTTTTTTCCTTTTTTTCATTTTTCTCTTTTTTAAACATTTATTTTTTGTATTCATGTTTTCTTTATACATATACTATTGTTAATTATTTTATAATTTTTCTAATTAATATATTTAGATTTTTAACTAATGTTAGATTTATTTATGGTTTATATTTATTTTTTTTTTTAAGATTTTTTGATGAAATTTTAATTAAGCCTATATCCAGCTCTGGGAAGGTCAGGGGAGGGAATGGGAGGGTTGGGGAGGTTGGGGGGAAGATTGTTTTGTTTTTTGTAAAATGTCAAAATTTAATAAAAATTATCTTTGAAAAAAAAAAAGAGTGAAAACATTGGAGTAAAGAATCAAATACTGCTTCTGCTGTTTCTTTTTCAAGTTCTGCCAAATCCAAAAACAAATTTATCGGTGAATTCATTCCAACACTTTTGATACAGCATTGAACATATACTATTAGGGTAGTTTTTTTTCTTATTGTGGTTGATTCATCAGTTATCAATGAAATTTTATTATTGGATTGAACAATTTCTTTAACTACAGTTTTTCTCATTTCTTGACTTATATGATTATCAGTGTTAATACACACATTTGTAGAATGAAGAATATGACCCATTTCAACTCAGTTCAGTTCTTGAAGATCAATTTCAGTTTCAAAATGATGGAATGATTGATATTCCTTTGCAGTTATTATTTTTTTCATGAAATAATGAGGTTAAAACAACATTCTCAAGAGTCATTTTTTCGCTTTCAGCAACTATTTTTAATGCTGCTTTATGTGCAGCAGATTCTCTGTGATCAAAAAATTTTTTGGACGCGAGCTCAACTATTGCTTCCTATCTTTGCCAGAATAGGTTATCTTGTTGTTGGTCCATTGTTTGGAAAGTTTCATTCCAATTTTATTTCAATTCCAAGAGTTCCAACTTTTCTACAAGGCATACAGCCAACTTTCATTTTGTAAACACAGAACCATTCATTTTTCAAGCAAAAATCATTTTTTTGATCATAGGTCCAGCAGTCCGGCCAGTCATTTGTAGTTTGGCATTGCTTCTCAAGATCAGATTCAGAAATATCAACAGGCATCATTATTTCTGTGTGTTCTGTCATTGTGTCTGTTAATATTCTGGCCTTTTTATTAGCAGGACCGGTGGTTGAGAAGTAATTAGTAATTTTTTTCATTTTTAAATTTGGGGTCACACTTTTACACTAAAAATTAAAAAAAAATTCACCAATGATTTTTTAAAATAAATTATTTACCTTTTGCATGTAGTCAATCACTGTATACAAACCCACACACATCAATTGTGTATCGAAACAACGGTTGCCACCCTCAGTAAGCACTCAGCATGCAGTGACCAATCACAAGCCCAGCAGTGACCACCTCCCAACAAATCCTGCAAAAGGCGGTGTAAACATTAAGGGCTACACAACCCTTAAGCCCTTTGTCTTGGAACTGGGTTTGTCTGAAACCAATAATACTTAATCCATGTTTCACCTGCAAATGCAGCAGATGCCACCTGAGGGTTCCCCTTGCAGTTCTTTTTAGACCCAAATCTACGCAGAATTAAGTGCTGCTCCCCCCACCTCCCACCCCCAGTCCTCTCTTACTCACAAGATGGTGCGGTTGGGCAGCAGGGGGGGATGCAAAGATTCCACCAACTCGCCTTTGCTGCAGACAACTTTGATGCGCAGTGTTTGCTGGCTGGATCCCTTGGAGCACTTGGAGGGGCAGAGACAGCTTTCAACAACCAGGTCCAGGCAATTCCTGTTGGCTTTCGAAAGCCAACAGAGGGAATAGCACAGCCCGTGCATGCCGAGGGGACAGTGTCTCGGTTCTCCTGCATTTTGGTGGCTCTAAGTAAGAAGTGGTGGCGCCACTTATGGCATAGTCAGCATGCACAGCAACCTTCTGGCTGTGAAAGGGAGTCGCTATCCACCCTCACACCTCTGCTCCTCCTCCTTCTCCTCCTCCACAGTGGGTCAGAGACAGGAAGTGCTCCCTCACCCTTTCACCGTCGCTTCCTGCCGTCGAATCTCTAGGTGGACTACACAGCGCTTTTGTGCTGCCTCTCACCTTTTGGCCGTTGAAGGAATTACTTTTCTTAATTTTTTTTTCTTCAAATGTTTCTCGGGGGGGGGCAGTGTGTGCTGCCTCCGAGGGATGCTCCCCTCCCCTCAGGAGACAGCATCCGAGTCTGATGGTGCAAGCACATGAGTCGTGCCCCAGGACTAACCCATGCGCCAAAGCAGCATGAGCTGAGTGAAGAGCCACCTTCACTAGTGTTTCTGTGGAAGTTGAAAATCTGTTGAAAAGAGATGCTGGAACACCATTCTGTTCATTCTATGACAAAAAAAAGCCCTGATTATATATATTATGTATTGTATTGAAATTACGTTGGTTCCATTAGTAAATGATATATTTACAGTGTGATTAGAATAAAACTGAGCCATACACTGGGAAAAAATAATGTATGATACCAGAATCAGATAGCAAGTTTTTATATAGAATTGTATTACATTATTATTTTTCTCACATATATGAATTAATATACATAACATGGAATTAAAAATAACAGTGACTACATGGCAGCGCCATAAACATATATACCTTTAGGTATAATCATACAAAAAGATATGCTATAATTTTGTTACTTCATAAATTCTTCCTATGCAGAAAGAATACAGATACATTATATGGCTATAATTAATATTATATAGCATCTAGCATTGCTTTGTAAGTATGCTCTTCACAAAAGACCACATTCTACAATACAGATGGCAGCCATTTTGGCTCCAAGGGCTGCATGGGAAACAGGGTTTTCCAGATTAACATCCAGGTTTTCATAGATGTATGCATATGTACATTTATACAAACATGTTCACAAAATGTGCAGTTTTAAATTCATAGATGTACTACCAATCATCAGTAAGGGAGGACAGTGAACAAAAAACTGCTGAATTTCCTACTAAGGCAATAGATGACCAGAAGTTCTTACGCTAGATATGTTTTTCATCAGGTTTTCAGCCTTCAGAAACGAAGGATCAGAGGAAATCTGCAACAATAACATACTGTACTGTCCACATATACCTGAGCACTGAAAAAGCTATAAATACAATTTTACTTCCTTTTTAAATTGTTTTTTTCCTGTATTAGTTCTGAACATTGGCATTTTCTAAAGAGACTCAGAATATCTTAATATTTTCTTCTAATATAGGAGCATACTATCAGGGAGTATACTAGCTCCATTCTGTAGTGGTGAATGGGGAACAAAAAGAAAAACTGTGAGAGACCTGGACAAAAATGATACTAATTTTAAGTTACATTAAGTAGATTAATAGGATTACTCTGCATGCATTTAATAATTATTGCTATCATATTCACAATTACTATCTGGTAGCAACTTTTGGAAGAGTTCTGTTTATTCTTTCTAAAGTTTGAAAGACACCAGATTATAAATCTCTGATAAACAGTATGCAGACAGAGAATTAAGACCACTGTATATATTTTACTTACTGTATAAAAGATAGTAGTTACAAATTGGACCATCATTCTTAGTAGTGAAATTGAATTCAACAAGTGCTACCTTTATATACTGTAGAGCAGTGGTTCTCAACGTTTGTGTGACGGCGACCCCCGTCACACAAACGTTCTGCACATGCACGGCGCCGCACGCATGGGGGCGCCGCCCCCTGAGGGGAGAAAATGGCGGATCGCCTTCTTTGGCGACCCCCGAAAAATGGTCGATCGACCCCAAATGGGGTCGCGACCCATAGGTTGAGAACCGCTGCTGTAGAGTGATATGCTATATGTGCTTTATTTTCTTGAGCAAGAAACTCACAGTATCAGAAATGATGCTTGATCACAACAAATAAGCTAAATATAAAGCATATTCATCCAGGCAGGAAAGACAGAATTTTCAACTCTGGTTATGGACCATTTTCTTAATCTTTGATAAGATACTTGACATAGCAGAAATCCGTTGTGTGTCTTTAACCTGATATGCCTGAAACTGGAAAAAAAAAAAAAGTCAACCTATATCAAGTAACATGGTCATCACTGTAGAACTGGCTTTTAAGGAACTGTTCAGATCCAACAGGCTGCCAAGGTAAGGAGACTAACAAAAGCAGCATTGCCATGTGGTGTTATAAGTCCTGATCTCTTTGTGTGCTGTGGTGTCACAGGCACATCCTAAAGGGCCAAAGTATGCAATGTAACACCACGACACTACTCATTCTGACAAAAACAGCAAAATCTCATGCATATTGCGTCATCAAGTTATTCTATAATTAGGATGGATTCAATTTCCATACTTATTTAATGGAATGGTTAATTTGTCAGTAATTGTTTCTCACAATGGTTGGCAGTATTGTGGACAAGATTTACAAAAAAACCAGCTTCTTTTTTGCTAAATGCATCCATATTTAATGGCTTTGTAGTTGTTCTTCCTTAGACTACTTCATTTTTTCTTGCATATGTACACAAGAACCTTGCTAGACTTGCACAACTTATCAGTGCGGCAGTATATTATTATTACACACCTCTCACTCTAGATTTTAGATTCTATTGGGATGATGCTCCCTAATGTTTCTGTTCTCACACCCACATTGGTTTATATTTGTCCTCAGTCTTATTAGGCACTGCTGTATTGTCATATCAAACACTGCTGTATGTTTTGCCCAATCTGTTTTATTTTCTTTTGTGCTCTGTGGCTGGCTGGCTGTAGATCTTTAATAACTTATTAGCAACGATCTTCAATAGCATATAATTTATATCCTCTGCATAATGCTTGATATATAAAATATTGTTGATTTCTCAGTGGGAAGAACTGTTTTTCTTTATTTGAGCAATCAACTTTTCTGCTGTAAGATTTGGTGGGTTTTTTTCTTTAGTAAATCTACCAAGTCATAGTTAAAAGGCTAAAAACAGTACTTCATACTTGACTTTAAAACAATAAAGTAATAACTCAAGGAAAGAAAAGTAGTATTTTTTTTTTGTTAAATTGGCATTAACTGGAAAAAAAAACCTTAGGGCTAGGTAGAAGCCCAATGAAAAACAGGTAGCACCCTTAAAAACGATAGGTCCAGAACAAAGGTGTTAAACCAAATTAAGATGCAACTGGGAAATGTTTAACAAAATAAAAATACAATAAAATAGATAACATTGCATTTTAAAACAAAATAATAATAAATGAAACCACAACACTCTGGGTTTGTGACTTGCAAGGAGCACCGCACAAGTTTGCCATCTCAATTTAGCCGCTGCAGCAAAGATTGCTTGGGGCTGCCACAGTGCAGATTTGGCAGGACCATCACATGACAGGTATTCTCTCTCAGACTACGCTGCAGCAACAACAAGTAGCTTTGCTGTTGAGGTTAAATTGAGGGGTTAGATTGTGCTTTTTCCATGTGACTGACAGAAGGTAGGCAGCCTTGCACTGGTAGCTGACTGGCTCAAGATCTCCCTCCAAAACAGATTCAAATTCCTTCTTTGCTCCCAAACAGGTTGAATCTGTAAACTACCCAGAGTCATTTAGAATAGATAGTAAGATAGGTGCTGCCTAAATTGATAAATAAATAAACATGAATGTCTCTTTAGAAATTATCTCTAACTCTCAGGGCTCCTTACTTGTAAACACAAGTGTATTATTGCTTTTGAGTAAAGTTTTATCAAAGGCGATTTAAGCTCATCAGAGGCCCTTATTAGAGGATATAATCGAGGAGAGTGCTGAAATAATACTGAGTAAGCTGTAGAATGCCCCATTAAAAAGAAAACTATCCATATACTTATAGGATGCAAAGTAAAGGCTTAGCTCAGCTATCAGTGAATGCTAACAAAAATGTACTATATTGTATTTGTAGTGAAAATTACATATATGAAGATAGAAAAGCTTCACTTCTATTTAAACTTCAATTACAGTATATCTAAAGAGATGTACGCAGAAAATTCCCTTTTGTGTCTTTTGGTCTGATAAGGTGTTTCTAACAAAAGTAATTTTGCTTGGGAAAATCCTAAGATCTTACAGATAGGAAAAAGATCAAATTATAAATTTTAAACCTTGTATTTATAACTAATTACCTTGCTAAGCAGCATATCAAAAAAGGCAGTATCCCAGTAGTCTCTGTTTTCAGCTGGGAGATGAAATAAAGCTTTGAGACCATTATCCTTCTGATGGAATTTCTTGCCTTCTCTTTGGGTGAAATTAAACTTTAGGAAATGCTTAGGACTTATGGCAAAGCTTTCCACTTTGGGGTACAAAGCACTTAGGTCCAGACTATCATTATTGAACAGATTTTGCTCTGGATATAAAAAATGGGGAAGATCTTTGGTCACCAAGCAACAGAGTAAGATCACCAGCAGACGATATACTGATCCTTCCAGACTCAGCCAGTCTTCAGAGGAAGAGAAAAAATGAGTAGCCCACAGCAATAACATCTAGGAAGAAGTAAAAATAATTACTAAATGCAGTGCAAAAACGCCTTTCAAATATATGTAAAACCAAACATATTATTATTGTTCATTTTACATTGAACAAGAGAGGCAAGATAGCCATTGTCATGTAAAAAAAACTCTATAGATGATCAGAGGCACTTATCTGCAGAAAACAAGCTATGAAACCTTGTTTAAAAAGTTGAACTTACAGACAAGCTGGGAATGCTGCTGTTGTAGCAGCAGCCTTACCTACGTTTCCTGATCAAATACATGGGAAAATCTCATTTGGGGGCAAATCCACTTAGAGTTATGATTAGGTCACCGTGAATTCGGAGAGCAAAATGGACATCGCCAATGAATTTGTAACACATTGGTACAGTTAGGAGGACACTGACTTTGAGCCTACCTTATCTACGTTTCCTGGTGAAATACTTGGGAAATTCCATTGGAGGGCAAATTGACTTAGGGTTAGGTCTCCATTAATTCAGAGAGCAAAATGGATATCGCTTGTAGTGTGTGCTGAATATTTCAAGGACGGTGCTGAATATTTCAAGCCCACCTTATCTATGTTTCCTGGTAAAATGCATGGGAAAATCCCATTGGAGAGCAAATCTCTTAGAGTTTGGATTAGATATCCACAAATTCAGAGAACAAAATGGGCATTGCCATCAGATTCATAGTGCATTGGTTTACTTATGAGGGAGCTGATTTTTTGAGCCTGCTTAATCTACATTTCGCAGTAAAATATATGTACCACACAGCAAAGATTTTGTTTGAACTACTAGACATTGTTTTGGGAAGTGTAGTACAGTTCCCTGGGTAAATGGTGTGGGGAATAGTGCATTGAAGTAAGTTGCTTCTTTGATGTTTCCTAAGCTTAAGTTGCAATTAAAAAGAAAATGCAGGTACTGGAAGTTTTTTTTAAAAGCCATTCACAAAGTTAAGGCAAACAAGATAAACTTAATAAACTATTGTCCAATTAATAACAGAATTCATAAACAAAGCTGAACAAAAATAAATCATAAATCTTACTTCAGTTCATTCTGAAATTGGCCTCATTTCTGGAATGAACATATAGCTAACTTAAATTCAAAAGGTGCAATGATTAAGCTACATTCTATGCACAAACCCAGATTTTTGTAAAACACGTTTTGCTACTCCCATCTTTTCTAACCTGCAGTGGTAAGGAATGGATCACATCCAAAACATGAAATTCAAACTGCCCTAGCAGCATTTGAAATTCTGCTAAGTTTGTAAAAACTCTAGCCCTGCATTGAGTGAAAGCAAATGTACAGAATATTTCAGAATTGCTCCCTCTTACTGATTTGCAATCATGTTTAATTTACACAATATTCAGCAATTTGTTTAAGCCATATTTAATCTTTGTTCAATTACTATATGAAGCATAAGGACATAAGTGGGACTTACTAGTCCTGATCTCCAGTACTCTATGGCATTCCCTAGTAGCCTCCTCTGCCAATCAGAACTAGAGAAGATATATATAAATCTATACATATCTATAAAGAGAAGCTTTCCTATTTTCTGCCTTTACATAAGTACTTTCCCTACCTCCTCCCCTTAAAGATGCTGCCTAAATGGTTCCTTTGATTCAGAAAGTTGATGCCCAATATATCAGGAGGCTTCAGGGATGGGGGGAGACTGCTGATCATTCTGTTATCTTTTCTGTGTTTGCCAAGTATATAATAATGCTTGAACTACTATATTAATAGTTATCTATTTGAACCAAAATTAAGTTTTGCACTCCTGAAAAAAAATCCCACCAACCTTCAAATGTTGAAATGTGAGTCCTTTTTCCTTCCCTTTCTCTCTCCAATACTCATGGTTGATTTGATCAAGAAGACAGAGACTGTCCAGGCGATATCCCTTTAGGGTGCTTACAGTTTGAACAAGTTTTGAGATGGGACAATTGGTGGAATAGCTAACAAAAGAAATATGCAATTAGAAGTTAACACTTTATTTCAGACTTCAGTCTGCTTCATTGTAGGATTCATTCATCCACAATTCATATTAATATCCATGCTGAGAGTTACTGGAGAAATCAACATGCATATTAATATTTCAAACTGATTTCTTGAGGACATGGCCACCTAAAACAAGGCGACTCTCCACTTCCTAACACTCCAACTAGCAAAGGTAATGAAATGCTAAGAATGTAATTGAATATCCATAGAGCCAAGGACTTCCTAGTTGTTTTTAGGGACCTAAGAACTGTGGAGACCATTGACAGTTTTTGTGATTCTCAAGGAAGATGCACTGTTTCTAAGCTGAACATACATGACAAAGATCACTTCACAAAAATCAGTTCCTTGCATAGTTCCCACATTTTAAACTATACAGATTTCTGTACAAACAACATTAAAACATTCTTGTACACATTTGCAATCAGAATATAATATAATCATATGTTTCCTCCTAGGAAGGAAAACATATATGTACATGTGCATATGTATTTAGAGTCCAAAATGTTTCTATTTCATAATGCATTGGTTTATCCTCTCAGTTTTCATGGTAAATATTTGCACTAACAAGTGAATAGGATTCCACATATATACTATGGAACACCTAGGCAGGTCAAGGGTGGGATAGTCAGGTTCAGTAACATTTCCCTATCACATACTATATTGACTGTAGCCAGCGCTATCATTTTATATGCTATTTTTATTGCAAGTATGTAGATATTTCAGGCACTCCCTCATTTGCAGATATGTAACAAGTAAAATCAACCCATAGGTAACATTAGCAAATCTTTAGCGTCCCTCATTTTGTTGTCAACCTCTTGATAGTTGTGTGATCTCAAATGCAAGCAAGACTTTCCCACCTATTGTGTACTACACATCTGTTCTGGCCAGATCAAATAGGTTTTCTGCTTTGCTTCTGAAGTCTCTCTGAGGGATGCCTTATTTATATACCAAAAAGAGATAATTATTTTGTAAAATAAAACTTAAACGTAACTAGGAAAGTGGAATTCGGCTGTAACAAAATTCAATATTTCAATGAAGGTTCATTCTGGCACTGCATTATATAAATATTTAAATTTAAATTACAATTTTCCACTATGGCAGAACAATAATTGCAGATAAATAATTTTTCGAATTGACCAAATTGTAAACCCTTTCTTCAGAGTGATTTCTAAAGACTTCTAAACTAGATCTTTATTATTAATTGTGCTAAATATGTCCTGTAGTAAATTAGTTGACACCAATTGTCCTCTTCTCAAGATTACATATAGATTATTATATGTCATAGAAAGACTGAGAAAAAAATATAATCTGTACAAATATTAAACATAGCTGGCTACCTTATGTTGATGACCTTGATGGATCTGCCTTTAAATATTTGCAAAGAGCTTTTATTGGTCATAAATAATCCCAATATAAAAACAGTCAACTGTTAAATTCATTTTTACTATGGTTAGAATATGGACCAGAATGGCAACTCTCTGATAGAATGGTATATTAGATTACCCCTAAAATCTAAACAATTGCCAATCATATACCTAAAACTATTTTTTAAGTGCTCTGGCTATACAGCCAATTGTTGTATAGAAGATACAGTTCCTGTAGAAGATACAGTGCAGTTTGTCACTGATGCATCAGTATCTTATCTTCCTACCCAAGAGGACCTTTTCCCAGCTTCACCTGGTATGTCAGTTGGTGGCTTTCTCAAACTGGGATGCTGTTGCAACAGCAACTCAGTTTCCCATCTCTTCATATTTAGACTACTATAACACACTTTACAAGGTGGTTCCTTTGAAAACAACTTGGAAGCTGTAGTTGATTCATATTAACTATAGTTCAATTGCTGATGGCAAGGTATCAGTGTCATATTGCTGACCTATGTTGAGATCACTGTACTGGTTACCAATACACACTGCGACCAAGGTGTTATTTGAACCTATGAATTTTCAGAAGTGTATTTTGGCCAAAATGAGTTTGCCCTCTATGTTCATACTGCGAAGTACTGCTTTATGTCCCACTCCCTGTGAAGCTCAGTAGATTGGAATCCAAAAGCATGTCTTCCTGGTTGTAGCAGCTTCACACTATACAATACCTTACCTCTTGAAATAAGAGAAGCCCTGAATTTGCCAGGCATTTCGTAAGATAATAAAAATCTTATTCCAATGAGCTTTTAGAGTTAACAATGGATCTGTGCTGCATTTGAAATTTTGTTATTTATATTTGATGTTTTCTATTGTGTAAATGCCTAGTGTCAAAAGAATTAGGGCATTACGGGTAGTCCTCCCTTAATGATGGTAAGTAGGACCAGTATTGTTGTCACTAAGCAACACAGTTGTATGACATCACATGAGTATGGTTCTTGGTGATGGAAATTCCAGCATTTTTTGTTGCTGTTGTTAAGCACAACTTCATGTGTGATCTCCTGCTAACTCACCCATTGACTTTGCTTATAGAAAGCCAGCAAAAAAGGGTCACAATTAGTAATCGTGATCATGGAGAGACTGCGACCATCATAAGTACAATGTCTGGTTATTAGTACCACTCATTCATAGTATCATCATAAGTTTAAACGTTGCTAAATGAGTGGTCTTTAAGCGAGGACCATCTATATAGGCATGTAGGAATAAATAAAAAATTTGGTCTGTTTTTAGTACTCAGAAGCCCATACCTAAAACTATGCCATGAAGCAAGCAAGACAAACAAGTGGAGAAGTTTTGAGATTTAAGCTTCCATTTTGGGACTGATCAAATTACCAGTAGAATTTGGAGCTCAGATGGCAGTAAGAATGAGTCCCACAGAACTATTAGAACCTGATCTCTGCACAAGTGTTTACAATCTCTGCATGCCTTTGTGAAAAACACAGCAATTACTGACAACACCAGATTATATCTATTCCGGATGCCAACCTCTTTGATTTCTATCTATAGAGATTTTATGAGTAGATAATAGTACATATCATGCCTAAACAAGTTGCTTAAGAAAATTGCAGCAATACTTTGTTTGACAGCTTTAAACTATAAACATCAAACAAAGTTTTGGGTAGCCCAACAACTCTTTGACATAGTATTGTCTGTTCCTTATATCAACTATGAAAAGTTCACAGGTGAGAAACTTTAGTGGCCAGCAACCATACTTAATATTCTTGGAGAGTATGAAAACTGCAGAAGTAGAAGGAACACCTCAGAGATATAAATGGGACAGGATGTTAACTTTTCCTCTGGATTTTAAATGTTTTAAATAATTTATTTTAAACTTACAGGTGTTATAGGATGTTTATTGTGTTTCCCATCTCAAAATGATAGATTTCCATTCCTTTGATTTTTGACAATTTTATTATAAGAGGGCTCCGAGGGACTAGAAAGCACAAGTCTGGAGAGACCTGTAACCTTGAAATCTCATTGCTCTAGGATAATATCATAGAATTTTGGACAAAATGCTCTACTCCAAACTCTATTCTAAAATAATTGAGTCTACATCTAAGCAACCCCGACATACTGTATGTAACTAATGTTTTGTCTTTTCATTAGGGGATACTTACAGTTCCTTATAACATGAACCCAGAAGGAACAAACATTTCTCTTGCATTTTACAAAGCTAAATTTCCTATGTAAATTTTTGATATGTAAGTCCATGCTGCTGGGAATTCTGATCTGCCAAGGAAGGCAACCTAGCCTGTTTATTTTTTCTCAGAAAATTTCAGATTCACAAGAAGAAGGCAGATTACCTCCACTGCATTCATACTTGAATTTAAAAAGAAGCACATCTTCAGCCTTCATGAACTTGGGTGTAAAAATATGATAATATGTTAATAGGTATGAAATGGGATCCGGAGGCCATGTATATGATCTATCATTTTCCCTCTGTTACACTATACCAGGGGTAGGCAACCTTGGCTCTTTTATGACTCGTGGACTTCAACTCCCAGAATTCCTGAGCCAGCATGGCTCAACTTGGAAACCTCTCTTTCCCCTCAGCATGGCTGGCTCAGGAATTCTGGGAGTTGAAGTCCACGAGTCATACAAGAGCCAAGGTTGCCTACCCCTGCCTTATACCATAGGAATCTTCTTAGAAGTGCATCTGGAAAGAGGTCTTTATGTTAAAAAATAGGACTTTTCCCATAAACTAGCTTTCATAACAGCATCAGTTTTACCTCCAGTGATGGTAACTGGTAGGGATGAAAACAGCTTCTTGCGTGACTTTGCTCAGACTGCCTTTTGGGAAACCTCTTTCTTGCCAGTTGTTCAGAGTATCCTGCTTTCTCCTGATTACTGGAATAATATTGAAGCAGATAGTTTTCCAGTCACTGGACACCAACAAAGGCAGCTGCATCCCGTCTTCATTTAGCCTCTCAGCACTAAGTTCACCTGATTTAAGGTGAAAAAAAAACACAGTGAAAGTCAAAGGGCTATGGCAAACTAGTCCTCAACTTCAGCATCTTGAAGGAATCTTAACTCCTGGGTCTCAGCATCTTTGGCAAATAATGCTTCTGTCCAAAAGCATGAACAGGAAGCAATGCCTTAAATCACAAAGAGGGCAATATTGGAGGATTCCACTTAATGAAGAGTTCAGCAGAACTTAGGTACAATAAATCAAAATCAATATGAATTAGTTTTTTATGTTTGCAGAGTGACTTAATAGTAAACCCTTGCCAGTAAAAGTATTCTCCATATTATCTAACTAGATGAAGTACTTATATGTCATAAATTGTTAGGACTACCTATTCTTTAAAAATATGCTTTTTCTACTGATTTGCCTGAATCAGACACTGCATCCTAAATCTGATTGTGTATTTTAGCATTTTTGAATAGTAGCCTGCCTTCCCTCAAATTTTCTATACACCTTGGTAAAATAATTTGCCCCACCAACTCCTGGAATGATTGCAATGTGGTATTTCCAATTAAAAGATGTGAAGTCAGGTCATCTCCCAGAATATATTCCAAGAGAAGGAAAAAATAGAGCAGAGATTTGACAGGGGTAGAAGCAAGGATGAGTCTGGGGGCCAGGGCTATATGTCCCCTGAAAATAACTCTCCGTCTGGGGCACATATTAGGAATAATTTGTGGACCAGGGTAGGTAAGTATTAATGGAATATTTATACTTCGTGGAAATAATTGAATATTTACTAAAACAATGTTTAATTATTTAACAAAATTCCATCTGTCCCTTGGTTTCTAGGTAAATCAAGTGTATTTGCTATTTATAGCTTTTCCACATTCCACCCAGTTACATTTTATTAGAGTCTTAAAGAATTTCTAAAGCTAAAATAGGTGTAGTGGTGGCAGTAGAACAAAGAAGTAATAATAAAAGAAAAGACCTCCATAACAAGGAAAACAGGTGACACCTCCCTCTTCCCTATATGTCACTATTCATACTTCAAAGTATTCTCACATCTAAACAAAGAAAATTAAAGTGGGGAGAATAAACTTCTGTGGTATAAAAGAGAGACCTTCGCTGATTCTTGTTATTAGTTGCATTGTAAGTATCGCATTGTTTAGAAATTTTAATCAATATAGTTATTGACATTACTGTGACAACAGTAAGGCCAATACATAAAAGCTATTTTAAGGATAAAATTACCTTTGCAAGTAATAGCAGTTTATTCTGTAATAACGGTTAAATTTTGCAAAAAGAAAGTATCATGGTAGTTTCCCTCATCTTATCCAATAGTCAAGCTAAAAGTAGCTTGCTTTAACAGGTCTGAAGTATCTGATGATTGGCTTTCTATTTATCAGAATTCTAGAAATGGACACATGGATTTATAAATTTGCGTCTCTGGAACTGTAATTCTTTCATTCCTGTCCCAGTTTTGAAATTTTTAAAAAAAGTATTTCAGTTGTTTTTGCTCCAAGCAAGCATCCTCCTGATACAGGAACACAATTCCCCTTACTACAGATAACTCTGCTACCTGATGGTGATAGGAATTACAGTCTATTCATAGAGGGTACCAAGTTGTAGAAAATGAGCAGAAAAAAAATTAAATAGTGTTTTGAAATCAACATAAGTATCCATAGTAAAGCTAGTAGTGGGTGTTGACAGCCCATATGTGTTGTTGGAGTTCTTATTTGAACAATGAAAAATCAACGGCTAATTGTTGGGAAAGAGCTTGGAACTTGTTCAGACCAGTACCTGTTATGTCTATTCGCATAATGCAAACATGTTAGTTCTTTTTTTTAGAATTTAATGTTTATTCCATTTGTCTTCTAATAGCAGCATACCATTAGAAGGGTGGGGCAGATAACAAATTTGTATTGCCTTTTTCTGCCCTATCTCTGAATCCATAATCTTCATAATCTTATAAGTGAACATACTGCCTTTTCCTATATAAACCTATGAATAAACATTTTGCCAATTTTTAACAATACCATTCATAGTTTTGATTGTACAATTCAAACAACCATATTTAGTAATATTTTAGAAATTATATTTAACATTAATATAAACATTTCTCCTTGCCTTTAAAGTTTAACTTATCTAAACCATTATAGTGCTAACAATTTCTGGGTTTATATTGCAAGGATACCACTGTATCCAGTGGATAGTTGTATTCACATCTTATAGTGTAGTAAAACTTGAGGAAAAATATGTGGCTGGACTACTTTATTTACTTTACTTTACCTATAATATTTATATGCTACTCAATTTTCTGATAACTCTGAACAACATGTACCTTCCCAACATTCATAAATTATTATGAGAATGTTCAGCCCAACAACTCACCACAGTAAAGGAGCCTAGGTCTCAATCTTTCTCCACCATTACCAACTGGAACATTCCTTTTAAGAAGGGAACCACCACCAAATGATCATCACTCCCAAGCCTCAGAGACCATGACAAAAAGTGAAGGCTACCAGGCAAATTCAGTTGGACACATTTCTTCTATCCTATTATCACCAGACTTCCATAATACGAAATGATTTTTAATATGAATAATAAATTAAATACAAAATGAGTGAGGTTTACAACATTCTATGCTCTATTCAGACCAAGCAACAATGCCTTGTTTTATTTCCTTTCCCTTTAGTTTTTCACTTCCTCGCTGTGTTCAGCATTGTGCTCAATTTCTCTGGACCATTATGTTTTGGTTCTGGTTCTTCTTAATATTGGAAAGCTTATTCAAACCATTTATGTATTGCCTTTGATAAAAGCAAGGAGGATATGTGGAGTGTCATGTATTTGGAGGAGCAAATGTCACTGTTTTCAAAATGAACAAAGCAAAGATAAGTATGGCAGATTCTAGAGCCAATCATAATGAGATTTATCAATAAACTTTAACAATATTAAGCTGTATATTAATTTACACATATACATATACGGCAGAGCTACTTAGCAGTCTTCTCCACAATAAAATGCATGGAATAAAATGAGAAATGACTTAATGTTAACACTTGTGAAAAAGGTCTTAGAATTATAGTTGATTGCAAATGAAGTGAGTGTGTGACGTCACTGCCAAAAGGGCAAATGAACATTTTTTGTCTACATCACAGAAATATAGTTTCTAAATTAGAGAAATAACAGCTCCACATCTTTCTTTCTTTCTTTCTTTGTTTTGATCAGATACTTCATTGAGTATGGTATTGTATCCAGTTATACACAATATACTTTAGGAACTTGAAATAGGTTCAGAGAAGAGCTGTTAGGATGTCCTAGAAACTAAGTCTTCTAAAGAACTTGAAGGAGCCTAGTTTGTTTAGCCTTGAGAAGAGAGCTAAAAAGATCTATGGCCCTCTTTAATTACTTTAAAAGTTATCACACACAAAAGAAAATCAAGATAGGTGCTCCATCAGAGCAGAGTGCAAGACATGGAATGGTGGATTTAAAGTATAGGATTCCAAATGAAAGGTGGTGGAGGTATGGAGAATCCCAATAGTAAAACTCTTGTCAGTGATATCAATTGACATGAGGTGGTAATCTGCTTTCATGAAATATATGTGAATAATAGTTAGATAATTACACAGCCTGAAATACAAGTAGTCCTCAAGACTACAACTGAGCCCAAAATTTCTGTTTCTCAGTGAGACAGTTGTTAAATAAGTTTTGCCTTATTTTACAACCTTTCTTGCTGCTGTTATTAAGTGGATCGTTGCAGTTGTTAAATTAGTAACATGGTTGTTAAGTCAATCTGGCTTCCCTACTGACTTTGCTTGTCAGAGGGTCAGAAAAGGTGATCACATGACCCCAGGATGCTGCAACTGGAATAATATGAGTTAGTTGCCAAGTGTCTGAATTTTAATAACATGTCCATGGGGATACTGCAATGTTTGTAAGTGTGAAAAATGGTCATAAGTCACTTTTTTCAGTGTCATTGTAACTTCTAACCAGCACTAAAGAAACTGCTGAAAGTCAAGGACTACCTGTACTTAAAACTGGGTCACTGAGTAGAGACATAGACCTGCTGGGTGTAAATAGCCTATTTCAGTTCCATGACTCTGTAATCTGATCTGAAGTGAATAGAGACTAGGTATATATATCCCAGCCCTGTGCTGGCCCTTTAGTTCTGAATATCTTTCCTGTCTGTCCATGCTCAGCTTAAGCTAAAGAATTGTATTAAGGGAGAACACAGCCATGAAGCTGCCCGCTAATAATAAGAATCTGGATTGAACAGGAAAAATAAGTCAGCTGGTCATAGTCTGCTGAGATACACTTATGTAATAAAAATTATTATTTCACAATTTTTATAAATTTTTAAATTGTTTTTAATTTTGTATAGCCTACCATTTACATACTGTAAATGATATATTCAGATTATAGAAATCTGCAATCTGTTTTGTCTTTTAGTAATGTATTTCCTCTATATCAGAAATAAATTAAAATCCTGCCCTGGAAGATGTATATAGTATATATGTAAATATTCTTCAAATAGCAAATACTTTTCAATTTTTCTGGAGTTTTATTAATGATTATAATTGTTTGGTGTAACTGTTACTTTATGTTTGGTTCTTGCTGGGTTATGATTATTACTCTGCTTTTATGTTTTTTACTGTAAATTGCTCTGATTCAGTTTAAATCATTTCCTGTAATTCTTCCTGGCTTGATACAAGTACCTGAGAAAACATTGCTGTAAGGTGTAACAGCATCAAGCAGCATCAAGCAGATTGGAAATCAGCAATCACACGAGAAAAATGCATTCCCTTAAAAACAAGCAGAAACTAAGTCCCTCAAGCAAGAAAAAACTTATCCCAAGCAAAGTATAGTATCACATTAACAATTTGAGGCTGGATAACAACACAGTGCGAGTTTGGCTATTATAAGTGCAAATGAGAGCTGTAAAAACATCTGTTAAATTTACTTATAAATTTTAAAGTAAGCCAACTTGGGCAAAGCAACATATATGCTCATTTCCAGCCTACTGAACTGTCCTTAGATTATACACCATTAGAAATAAATAGTACAGAGCCATCTGAGTTGATTTGATTAAGAGCACCTGTACATTTTCAGGCTTCAGTGAGAGCTTGAAAAAAAGAAAGATACCACCATTTTAAGAAATCCACCCATTAAAGTCAGGCAGTGGTACTTTTTTTTATGTCACATTCCTTTAATGAATAACAAAGGTGCCATGCCAAAGTGAGGTATGAAGCATTTCTGATTAATGTTCAACGTGTAGGGCTTTGCCTTCTCCAGAAATGACTCAAAAAGAAGTTCTTTGGGATTCCTGCAAACATCACTACTTTGCTATTCTTAATGTAGCTGGGCTTGTTTCCAAGTTTCTATATAAGCCTGAAAAAAATGTGGGTGCTTCCCAAATTTATGGCAATTGAGCACTAGGTGCTTGCTATGTTACTATAATTTTGAAAACTGTGCTAATTCATGCTGGGATTTTCTTTGCAATAAATTTATGATGTTCATAAACTACCCAGAATCTAGGTTGCTGGACTATATAGACATGAACAAAATTAAATAAATCAATAAATACAAAATAATCTTCAAATTTCTTTCAAGTCTAGCCCCCAAAGTCAGCATTTAGTGAGTATTCATTGGAAAAATGAAATCAACCACATTATGGATTCATTGGTTTATGTATAATATAATAAAGTGAATTGTCAGTGATAATTAGTATAGCAGACACAGTTCTTTTACTAATGCTTGCACAATTTCTGGATCCTTTAATTAGGAGCACTGTTGAAAGTCTGTAATATGCCATGAGAGAAGTAATACTTCTTTTTTAAAAGAGAGAATACCATCAAGGCTTCTTTCTTTTATTTTATCTCCTTTTCTATAGCAATAGCAAGCAATTTTTTTTAAATGCTTAGCTTCAGCCTTATTAAACTGGCCATTGTGAACTCATTTCTACTACAGTGAAGTTACGAGTTACCCAAATGTCTACGGTTAATATTTATTATTATTATTTTGTTTTTAGCAGCAATATGTTAATCACCTTGTCTCATTTATTATATTAGAACAAGAGTGTATGCTGTTGCAGCAGCATTCTACAAATGCTAACCTTTTGTGAGTGCACACTTTAATTGGATACTAGCTTAAATTGTTCATCCTGGTTCTCTGGTGTATTTTATCATACACACTTGGAGGTACAGAATAGTACAACATATACATTAGATTTTTTTTTTAATATACCCTCACAAGATAGCATGCTGGTTTGATTAATGATTTACATCTAGCCTCTTGTATTCTTCCAATTCTCTCACTCTTTTCCAATGCTAATCCTGAAAAAAGATTTTAAATATTTTAAATAGTTTGCTGTCGTTCTCTCTTTACCTCTGAAACAGTACCTGGCTTAATAAGATTCTGGAGTTTGCAGTGAACAATGGCAGCAACTATCAGTTCTTTCAGGAGATGAAGGACTTTGCCTGGCACAATATGTCCCCTGGAATCAGCATCTTTCACAGCACTGAACACATCTTCTTTGGTCCAGTTTTCTAGGCTGGTTTCTTGCTTGGGTACCCTTAAATAGCATGGTCCTGGCATCTGGCAATTCCTATGAGTAACATTCTCAGAATTACTTTGTTCATCTGTACATAGTTGCATCAGGAGAACCTCGGCATTGACACGTAAGGGAACCTCCATGGTAACTTTATCTTCTGCAGCTGAGAGGGAAAATTCCAAGGCTTCCAGGTTTCTTGAATAATCCACTATAAATCTAGGATCCATTGTCTTGACTCTTTCCAGTACAATAAACAAAATGTTTTCTGCCTTCTGAAAATGCTGCACTCTCTGATATTCACGGGACTGAATCACCTGAAGATAGCTGTGCCAGTTAGAAACCTTTTCTGCCATGATGGAAGGTTGGCAGAGATGAAATTCCTCCTGTAAATCCTCTTGTTGCCCAAGGTAGCTCTGGAAGCAGACAAAAACATTGGTATAGCCCTGAAAAATCTATGATATGCATAAAAGTGGGAGGGGAAGGGTGTGGCCAGGAGGACTAGAGTAGGGAGGAGCTGCATATGCAGTAAAATTCCACTCATGCATTAAAAAACTCTTGTGTTTCCCTGTTTCATAGTTGATAGGGTGCCAAATTATTTTAAAACAATAAAACTGGTATGTTCAGGTGAGACAGCTGAGACATCCGGTTGTCTCAATATTATTTTCTGGTATATCAGACTTGTCCTAGCTAGCTAGCCTGAAAAACTGGGTTTACTGGAATAAATCCATACAAATAAAAGTGGGGCTAATCCAGCTGTACTGACCGAAATTCAATTCCTTCTAAGTCACAAAGCTCACTGCAACAGTTGTCAGCATCTCAACAAACTTTGTAATGAAGGAAAATTGTATACATCAACTCCTGGGTAACGTATGGGCTAATGAAATATAAACAGGCTAAAATTTGTGTTTATCAAAATAATACTGCCAATGGTAATTCTTCTATGATTGTGCAACACTTTGGGTGGTCACTCATGCCTTAGTGGCCTCACATTTGGACTCTACATGCAGCTGTCCTTGAAGTTTCAGTTGATCCAAAAGGCAATAAAGCAGGTAGTTATGGACACAACCTGTTACACCCATATGACACAATTACTCAGCAAGCTGCACTGGTACCCAGTAGGCTTCTGAGTGTAATTCAAGGTGCCAGTTATCACCTTTAAAGTCATACATGATATGAGGCTGGATTACTTGTGAAACTCCTCCTAAGAATATCTGTTCACCTCACACGCTTCCATTGGGATGGCACATTCAAACTTTGCCATCTTATTATACCTTTTTTATGGCTGTTTCTGTGCTCTGGAATGAGCTCCCTCCCCCTGCCCTGACACACAGTAGTCACCCCAAATCTGCTTGCTGTTGTATAAGCCATCAAAACCTAGGGGTTATTTTCTCCAGGCATTGAAGTCCTGTTGAGTGGAATCCCCTTTTGGTTGTTTAATTACTATGTTCAATTGCCATTTTAAATTTTATATGTTGGGTTGTTTTTTTAAATGTTGGGTAACTGGGTTTTTTTTTCTGCTTACTATTTGTTTTTGTTGAATGCTACCCAGTCTCATTGTTTGTTGAATGCCCTATAAAACCATTGAATAAATTAATGAAATGACTCATTAAACAAATAAACTCAGAAGTCTCACTTGAACTACAAACAACCAGGCCTAAATTATCCTGTTGTTGTTGTTAATTGCGAAGTTGTGTCCGACCCATCGCGACCCCATGGACAACGTTCCTCCAGGTCTTCCTATCCTCTACCATCTTCTGGAGTCCATTTAAGTTCACACCTACTGCTTCAGTGACTCCATCCAGCCATCTCATTCTCTGTCGTCCCCTTCTTCTATTGCCCTCAATCTTTCCCAGCATTAGGCCCTTCTCCAGTGAGTCCTTCCTTCTCATTAGGTGGCCAAAGTATTTGAGTTTCAACTTCAGGATCTGGCCTTCTAAAGAGCAGTCGGGGTTGATCTCTTCTAGGACTGACCGGTTTGAACGCCTTGCAGTCCAAGGGACTCGCAGGAGTCTTCTCCAACACCATAGTTCAAAGGACTCAATTCTTTGGCGCTCAGCCTTTTTTATGGTCCAACTTTCACAGCCATACATTGCAACTGGGAAAATCATGGCCTGGACTATACGCACTTTTGTTGGCAGGGTGATGTCTCTGCTTTTTAGTATGCTGTCTAGATTTGCCATAGCTTTCCTCCCCAGGAGCAAGCGTCTTTTAATTTCTTGGCTGCAGTCCCCATCTGAGGTGATCTTGGAGCCCAGAAAAATAAAATCTGTCACTACCTCCATTTCTTCCCCATCTATTTGCCAGGAATTGAGAGGGCCGGATGCCATGATTTTGGTTTTCTTAATGTTGAGTTTCAAGCCAACTTTTGCACTCTCCTTCTTCACCCGCATCAAGAGGCTCTTTAGTTCCTCTTCACTTTCTGCCATTAGAGTGGTATCATCTGCATATCTTAGGTTGTTGATATTTCTCCCGGCAATCTTAATTCCAACTTTTGATTCATCTAGCCCTGCCTTTCTCATGATGTGCTCTGCATATAAGTTAAATAGGCAGGGCGACAGTATACAGCCTTGCCGGACTCCTTTTCCAATTTTGAACCAATCAGTGGTTCTGTGTCCAGTTCTCACTGTTGCTTCTTGACCTGCATATAGGTTTCTCAAGAGACAAATAAGATGGTCTGGTACTCCCATCTCTTTAAGAACTTGCCACAATTTGTTGTGATCCACACAATCAAAGGTTTTAGCATAGTCAATGAAGCAGAAGTAGATGTTTTTCTGGAACTCCCTAGCTTTCTCCATGATCCAGCGTATGTTGGCAATTTGATCTCTAGTTCCTCTGCCTCTTCGAAATCCTGCCTGTACTTCTGGTAGTTCTTGATCCACATACTGCTGGAGTCTAGCTTGTAGGATTTTAAGCATAACTTTACTAGCATGTGAAATGAGTGCAATGGTGCGATAGTTTGAACATTCTTTGGCATTGCCTTTCTTTGGAATTGGAATGTAAACTGACCTTTTCCAATCCTGTGGCCACTGTTGAGTTTTCCAAATTTGCTGGCAAATTGAGTGTAGTACTTTTACTGCATCGTCTTTTAAGATTTTGAATGGCTCAGCTGGAATACTGTCACCTCCACTAGCTTTGTTGTTGCTCAGATTTTCTAAGGCCCATTTCACTTCACATTCTAGGATGTCTGGTTCGAGGTCAGTGACCATCTCATTGTGGTTATCTGGGATGTTAAGCTCATTCTTGTATAGTTCTTCTGTGTAGTTTTGCCATCTCTTCTTAATCTCTTCTGCCTCTGTTAGGTCCCTGCCATTTTGGTCCTTTATCATGCCCATCTTTGCATGAAACGTTCCCTTCATATCTCCAATTTTCTTGAAGAGATCTCTGGTCCTCCCTATTCTGTTGTTTTCTTCTATTTCTTTGCACTGTTCATTTAAGAAGGCATTCTTATCTCTTCTAGCTACTCTCTGGAATTCTGCATTCAATTGGGTGTATCTTTCTCTTTCTCCTTTGCCTTTCGCTTCCCTTCTTTCCTCAGCTATTTGCAAAGCTTCCTCAGACAGCCATTTTGCTTTCTTGCATTTCTTTTTCTTTGGGATGGTTTTAGTTGCTACCTCTTGTACAATGTTGCGAACTTCCATCCATAGTTCTTCAGGCACTCTATCTATCAGATCTAATTCCTTAAATCTATTTGTCACCTCTACTGTATATTCATCAGGAATATGATTTAGTTCATACCTGAGTGGCCTAGTGCTTTTCCCTACTTTTTTCAATTTAAGCCTAAATTTTGCAACGAGAAGCTCATGATCTGAGCCACAGTCAGCTCCTAGTCTTGTTTTTACTGACTGTATAGAGCTTCTCCATCTTTGGCTGCAGAGCACATAGTCAATCTGATTTCTATGTTGACCGTCTGGTGATGTCCATGTGTAGAGCCGTCTCTTGGGTTGTTGGAAAAGAGTGTTTGTTATGACCATCGTATTCTCTTGACAAAATTCTATCAGCCTGTGCCCTGCTTCATTTTGTACTCCAAGGCCAAAATTATCCTATGTTATACATATTAGGCAAAGACCGAATTTATTGGTGAAGATAATAATGTTAGGAAAGATGAAAGGAGAAACAAGAAGAGGATGATCAGAGACTCTAGAAAGAGTACAGAGAAGAGCAAAAAAGATGATTAGGGAACTGGAGGCTAAAACATACAAGGAATGGTTGCAGGAATTGGGTATGTCTAGTTTAATGAAGAGAAGAACGAGGGGGGACATGATAGCAGTGTTCCAATATCTCAGGGGCTGCCACAAAGAAGAGGGAGTCAAGCTATTTTCCAAAGTGCCTGAAGGCAGGACAAGAAGCAACAGATGGAAACTAACCAAAGAGAGAAGCAACCTAGAACTAAGGAGAAACTTCCTGACAGTTAGAACAATTAACCAGTGGAACAACCTGCCTCCAGAAGCGGTGAATGCTCTAACACTGCAAGTTTTTAAGAAGAAACTGGACAGCCATTTGTCTGAAAATGGTATAGGGTTACCTACCTGAGCAGGGGGTTGGACTTGATGACCTCCAAGATCCCTTCCCACATTATTATTATTATTATTATTATTATTATTATTATTATTATTATTATTATTATTATTATTATTATTATTATTATTATTGTGGATGGACTCAATTACAGTAACAAAGAGTGTATTGTTGAAGATCAGAAAGACCAAGATAGGGACAGGCCATCATAGACAAAATTTATGTGCTTGATTATGTGCACATAGTAAGTACTTACAACATATATTAATATAAAAGAAACTCAAAGATACAGAAAATTAAATCTAGTAATTTTTTTAAAAAGTTATCACAAGAAACAAAAGTATTTTAGTTCTGAGAAAAGAAGTCTAAGATTGCATTGTATCATATTGTCTTCAAGAATATTATAAACTGGTGATTTAGGGATTTTATATAATGTACTTAAAATATTTTCCTTTACATTTAGTTCAGGAAAAAATTTGAAGAATATAGCCTCATGGCATTGTTGATTCTAAAAAAATTACTCAAGTGCCATACCTTGGTGAATTTACTGCATTTTTTAGAAGGAAATGTTGCTATATCAAGAAAAAGGAAATACAGTCTAAAATTGATTCCTTAGCACAGCCTTTTCCAATCTGGTATTTTTCAGGTAAATTGGACTTCATCTCCCAACAGCTATTGCCTATGCTAATAAGATTTATGGAAATTATGGCTCAATAGAAAACATACATGGACCCACACATGCTGCCTTTTAAAAAAAAAGTTTAAAATGAATGCATTGCTGGAAGTACACTGATGTAATATTTATGTTGAAAACCACTTCACAAATACTACTAATAAATTCTTTGCAAATTGTCTACGTATTTAATTATTCCTATCATAAATATGGAAGTAAAATGCAGTATGATTAATCAAACATATTTCCTAGAATATCCTGCATAACTATGATGC